GGAGAACATTGAGGACATAAAATCGCAGCAAAATATTCTGCGTTTGGATTTGGACACGGTCTCTGAAAGATCGTATAGTGTGGAACGGAGCAGTGACCAGTCAACCATCGATAAACTCGGAGAGGACATGGACGAGATTCAGGATAGCCTGGAAAGAATGGAACAGCTCAACAGGAAAAACAATATTCTCATTCATGGGGTGAGTGAATTGCCAGATGAAGCTAATCTTGACTGTAGAAATATTGTTTGTGATATTCTCACTCGCCATGCCACTAGTGATATGCCGTTTCATATCCATGACATTATCGATGCTCATCGACTAGGTGCTCCATCGAACAGAAATAATCGCACTAGACCTATATTAGCCAAGTTTTCATCTACTCGGTGTAAAGTGCGTGCCTTACAGTGTCATGACAATTTAGTTAAAAGCTAATGGGCATGGAATCTCCAGTGACCTCACAATCAAACAGAGGAAAACGTTAGCTGCCTTGAAACAACAAAATAAATATGGTTTCTTCAAAAATGGTAAATTAGTGGTGATGGACAGGCGACCTGATCGTGACTCTCAACCCCGAGAAACATCTGACTCAGTTATTATAGATGAGACAGATAACAGCATCACAATCAACAGCGGATAAGGGTGTGGCCGACCCCAGACACAACGCCTGGATCCTAGGAGCCTCGGTTTACTCAACTGTCTATTCTGGAATATTGCAGGGTTCTGTAATAAAGCTGATGATGTGAACTTCATAACATTTCTCAAGTCTTATGATATCATGGGACTTACAGAAACATGGACATCCGGTTATGATTTTTCGGCGTTATTCACTGACTATAAGTGTTATTGTGTTGATGCAGTTAAAACATCATGTACAGGACGACTCTCTGGTGGTAAAGTGCTTCTTGTTAGGAAATGTTTTTCTGATCGTTATGTGAATTCTGTGAAAATAATTGATAATGCTATTTTTGTTGTGTTTGACAAGACTGTGTTTAATCTTGACCGGGATGTTACTCGCTGTTGCTTACATCAATCCTGCTGGTTCTCCGTGGTATAAGACCAAACAGTTTGCATGTGGTTTATCATTTTTCTTTGAATCGCTGTTAAATGTTATATGTGACCTGTGTGATCCCATTGTCATTATCGGTGGGGACTTTAACGCTAGAACCGGTGAGGAAGCAGAAAACATTGACAACTCCATTGCAGATATCTTGGGAGATGACGACATTAACACTTTCTTTCATACAAAAAAATACAAAAAGACACTCATGCGACAAAATGATTAACCATGCTGGGAGAAAGCTACTTAATTGGTGTACTTCTCTAAATGTTTCTATACTAAATGGCCGCTGTGGCCTTCAGAAGTCTTTACTGTACTAGATGCGTTCTCAATAGCCGAATGTGATCAAACATTCTCAGGCGTTCACTGTGCTTTAGAGTTTACTTTGTGTCTTAAAAATAATGTGAACGATGTACAGAAAACGGAGGATGATAGTGACATGAATTATGTACATTTTCATACTAGTATTAATAGATGGAACAATGACAAAGGCACTGAATTTTCCAATCATATTGATTCCAAATGTATCGAATTATTATGCTTTGAAATTGACAATGTAAAAGCTGACAACGTGCAAGAATGTATTACTGATGTCACCAACTCACTATCTGAAAAATTAACCTCTGCGGCAAAAGCAACGTTTGGGTGTAAAAATATTCCCCAAAATAGAAAACAATCGAAACCGTGGTTTGATCAAAACTGTAAAGCGGCAAGAAAGCAGTATCATAAAACTAAGCGTATTTTTGGCAAAAACAAGTCTGACTCAAACCACAATATTTATTACGGCCTGTAAAAACTATAACAGAACTCTGAAACAGTCAAATCAAGCCTACAAAAGGCAATGTGCAGGAAAAATACGCTTGGCACAAAAATCTAAACCTAAAATATTTTTGAACATTTTAAAATCTTTCTCAAAAAAGCGTAATAATAATGTCAATATTGAGTTGGTGAAGCTTTTTAACCATTTTAAAGGTATGAATGAGACTGATGAAAGCGATGATGTAAACATCGACATGCGTGAATTGAGTAAATGTGACATATTAGATAATCCAATTACAGAAAGCGAAATAGCTCGTGCAGTGAAAGCGCTCAACAACAACAAGGCTTGTGGTATTGACGGTGTACACACTGAATAGATCAAAGCAACGCTATATACTCTCATGCCTGTATATGTTAGATTGTTAAATTGTGTGTTTGATTATGGAGTTTTACCTGAATCCTGGCTACTCGGTTACATTAGGCCAGTCTATAAGAATAAAGGGTGTCCATCAAACCCTAATAGTTACAGAGGTATAACAATTGTAAGCTGCTTGGGCAAAGTTTTCACTTCCATACTATCGGAGAGATTACAAAACTTTTCAGATTCCATTGAACTTATAAGTAAAGCACAAGCCGGCTTCCGTAAAACTTTTTCTACAACAGATCATGTTTATTTACTGAAATCCCCTTATCGATATATATAAAGGTCTTAATAAAAAGTTATATTGTGCTTTCATAGATTTTAGTCAGGCCTTTGACACGGTTTGGAGAAATGGTTTATGGATTAAAATGATTATAAGTAATATAAGCAGCAAATGTTTTAAGATAATTTACAATATGTATCAACAAATTAAATCCTGTGTAAAACATACTTCACCATTCTTCTACTGTAATATTGGCGTTAGACAGGGTGAAAATTTATCTCCATTTTTTATTTGCTCTCTACCTTAATGACCTTGAAACCTTTTTATGTGAACACAATGTAAATGGACTTGGTACTGTAAATTGTTTTATTGAGGAACAGCTTGGCATGTATATAACATTATTAGCACTATTGTATGCAGATGATACTGTTTTGTTATCGGAAAGTGCTGAACAATTACAATTAAGCTTAGATAATTTCTCAACATATTGTACATTGTGGAAACTTAAAGTTAACTTAGATAAAACCAAAATTGTAATCTTTTCAAAAGGCTATGTAAAGAACAAATATAGGTTTAAACTTTTTGATGAGGAAATTGAAGTTGTCCGAGAATATCTATACTTGGGAATTCTATTTAACGGCAATGGTAAGTTTGCTAAAGCAATTAAGAGACTTGCAGAACAAGCAACACGGCGATGTTTTCTGTTTTTAAAACTATTAGGGACCTTGAAATCCCAATTGACTGTCAGTTGAAACTTTTTGATCAATGCATTTTACCAATTTTATTATATGGGTCAGAAGTTTGGGGGTATGAAAATGCAGCTATTTTAGAAAGAACGCATCTGAAATTTTGTAAGCATATACTTAAGGTAAGACAATCTACTCCAAATTTTATGGTTTATGGGGAACTCGGTAGATATCCTATTGAAGTAATGATTAAAACAAGAATAATAAGTTACTGGTGTAAAGTCATTACATCAATACATAAGTTTCCTCATATAGTGTATAATGTAATGGCTAATGTGTCAACTTGTTTGGGTATTCAATTTGATCTTTTAAATGTAGTGAAAAGTATACTTCAAAAAGTTGGGTTATCTTATATATGGCAGTCCCAAAGGTTTCCTTCCGCATCCTGGCTGAAAAACTATGTTAAATACACACTTATAGATCAGTTTAAGCAATCATGGAATGCTGACCTTCAAAACTCATCAAAAGGTAAATACTACTCCTTATATAAGCATACTCCCAACTTAGAACCTTATTTAATCAGTCTCCCAATGAAACAACGTATCTGGTTAACAAAACTGCGAACATGCAATCACAGATTACCGATTGAAACCGGCAGATGGTATAATATAGACACAGAAAATAGAATATGTACAATTTGTAACCAGCCTGTTATGTGTGACGAGTTTCATATTATATTATCATGCAGAGCTCTAGATGATGTAAGAGAAAGTATACTCCGTAGCTATTTTTTTTAATAACCCCCATATTGATAAATTTGTTTCCCTTATGAAATCTGACTATCATCCTTTGGTACAGAAACTGTCACGTTTAACGAAAATTGTATTATCCCTGTTTTAGTTATACATTTATATTATATTCATATGCATATAAGCCAAAATGGCACTTTGTATTTATCAAAATATATGTATGTTCTCGATATCATTTTGTATGATTTATGAGAACAAAATCCTGAGAGTCTGAATCTGAGTCTGAGTCTGAGCCAGGACGCTGGCATTGGAGACTTTACCTTTTTATAAGCCACTCGGGTAAAAGTGTGATTGATTATGTCATTGGATCACCTGCTGTCATTTCAATTTGTAAACAATTCGACATTGTATCTAGGTCAGACTGCGACCATCTACCGTTATCGTGTCAGTTTCAGCTACGTGACTACCACGTTAAGCCCGTGCAGTATCTATTACTCGTATCCCGATGCTCATCTGCGGGCCGAGTACCGGTTTGTTTGGGATGAAACCAAAGCTGAAATATTTAGAGAAAGGTTATTGTCCAAGGATAGTATAAACATGTTTGATCATTTTCTTGATGCTGTGTCTGAAAACATTAATGAAGCTGTTGATTTATTGGTAAACGTAATATGTACAGCTGCTAATTGTATGAAACGAAGTAATTCTGTAGTCAATACGACAGGGAATGTAGTTATTATCGAGCTGAGAGGGAGAGGTTATTAAAAGTATTTAGAAAGAGTAGACTTGATGAAGATTTAAAGAGATTTGGGGCGGCTAGAAACAAATTTTCTTCTGTCGTGAGAGAAAAAAAATGTTTGTATCAGAACAATATAGTGAGATTGTTAACAGACAACTTGTTTAATAGTAAAGCGTTTTGGAACATATTCAAAAGGTTTTCGGGGACATCCGTAGTTCATCCCAATATATCTTTACAAGAGTGGTTTGATTATTTCTGTAATATGTACATGGACGCTGCTGGGTCGTTAGATGGTAATGCAACTTACAATAGCGAATATCAGCCTACGGATATTAATGTTACAACAATTCTGGACTCGTCTGTTACAGTAGAGGAGGTTACCAAAGCAATAAATACCCTCAAGTGCTCTAAATCTGCGGGTGATGATGAGTTAATTGCTGAATGTTTCAAGTTTTCTTCTGATATTCTAGTTCCGTATTTAACAGTTTTATTCAACATGATCTTTGATAATGGTGTGTTTCCTGCTCAGTGGTCGGTTGGTCTTATTGTTCCTATTCATAAAAAGGGAGATCAAGATTCAGTTTCAAATTATAGAGGAATTACTATTCTCAGTGTATTTAGCAAACTTTATATTGCAGTGATTAACGACAGACTTAAATTTTGGAGTGAAGCTTATGCTAAAATATCCGAGGCACAGGCAGGGTGTAGAACAGGATACTCAACCGTCGACAACATCTTTATTCTTCATTCTATTACACAGAGAATTCTATCGAAAAGGGGTAAGTTGTATGCTTTCTTCATCGACTTTTCGAAAGCATTTGATTTGGTAAATAGATCGATATTATGGTTAGTTTTGCCACAGAAAAGGATTAACACCCAAGATGTTAGGTTGCATCAAATCCATCTATAGTTGTGTTAAATCTTGCGTTAAAGGCAATAATTCTTTTTCACAGTTGTTCGACTGTAATATTGGAGTTCGTCAAAGATGTGTCTTAAGTCCATTCTTGTTCTCCATTTTTATAAACGATTTAGCTGATAAAATTGAATCGTTGTGTTATCCGGGCATACAGTTACATCTAGAATTAACTCAGTTGTTTCTCCTTCTATTTGCTGATGATGTCCCTCTATTCTCTGACACCATCTATGGGCTACAAAAACGTATTAATGTCCTGGAACAGCATTGCAAGGAATACAAGCTATGTCAACTTAGATAAATCTAAAATTGTTGTGTTTAGAAATGGTAGCATCCTTACTTAGCACGAAAAATGGTATCTAGGAGGTAAATTAATTGAGTGCGTTTCTTCATATAGATATTTGGGAATAGTATTTTCACAAACATTGTCATGGCATAAACATTTTGAGAGCTCTATTTTACAATCCAAAAAGGCTTTGTTCGGTATTTTGAAAAGTTTATCAAAATTCGAGCACATGAAATGTGATGTCTTCTTCAGAATTTTTGACACTAAAGTAATGCCTATTTTGCTTTATGGTGCCGAAGTATGGGGTCTAGACTGTGGTTGTAATTCATCCATTGAAACAGTGCATACCCTAGCTTGTAAATACTTACTCTGTGTTAAACTATGTACCCCTAACCACGTTGTACGTGGCGAATTCGGGAGATACCCTATGTATATTTTTGCGTACAAACGCTGTATTATGTATTGGTACAAACTGTTAAATATGCCTTCTATACGTTTCCCTAAGAAATGTTACAATTTATTACTGTTAGATGCTTCAAATGGTAAAATTAACTGGACATCAACATTAAAAAAAACCTATTGTATACAATGGGTGTTGGATACGTATGGGAAAATCAATATATTCCTAATATAAACCTTTTAATTGCTCAAAATCTCACCTATATTCTCAATTTAAATTAATTTTTGGTGTTGAGCCATATCTCCATTGCATAACTATCAAGAAATTTCGTATTGCCTTAGCGAGGTTCAGGTGTAGTTCACACCAACTGAATATAGAAACTGGTAGTTATAGACAGAAACCAAAAAACTCAAGATTGTGTGAAATGTGTTCCTGTAACTATGTAAAAATTGAGTATCACTTTTTACTGATTTGTACTTCCTATGATGATGTACGTAAACGTTTTATTCCTTTTGATGTTGTCACCCATCCAACCTTGTGTAAATTTAATCGACTGATGAGTAATGCTACTCCTCTTGTGTTAAGAAATCTTGCCATGTTTATCTTCTATGCTAACAATCGTCGTCGCTACAGCTTGAAGGCTGCCAATGTACTGAGTCAAAAAAGAAACTTCACATTCTTTCTTCAGGGCACTATAAAAGAACAAGAGATGGAAAGATGGTTAAATTGTTATTATTTCATTGCTGAGATCTGTGTGATGTACTCGATACACTGACAGTGCCATAATCAGTTCCATTAGGCTACACCGCCGTTCCAAAACATGGGTATGTAGAATGTCAAGTCACAAGAATAAACATGCAAAATTACTCAGTTCAATATCTTGTATGGCCGCCCCGCGCATTCACCATTGCCAAACACCGTCTCCTCATCGACTGCCTGATGCTTGTGAACACGTGGTTGGGGATTCTGCGCCATTGCTCTTGCAAGGCAGCGCCAAGTTCCTGCAAATTCTGAGGTTGGTTCCTAAGACCACGAAGCCTTCTCCCAAGTGCATCCCAAACTCGCTCTATTGGATTAAGGTCAGGGGACCTCGATGGCCAGTCCATGACGTTGATTCCAGCGTTTTGAAGGAGATTTCGTGTCAACATCGCGGTATGCGGCCGAGCATTATCATGCTGGAACTGTAGACCTGGGCCATGAGCCGCCATGAAAGGAACGAGTTCAGGGGGTGGGCACCTGGTCGCGGTAAGCAGCAGCTGTGAGGTTTCCACGGATGACCAGAAGTCGGGAACGGTTGTTCCCACAGAAAGCACCCCACACCATGCAATCCGAATCTGTCGACTTCCTGTACACAACATTGGGCATACCGCCCCCGAATCTGTCGACTTCCTGTACACAACATTGGGCATACCGTTCACGACGTCGTCTCCAGACTCTATGCCTGCCGTCCGCGAATCTGAGGGTAAACCTGGATTCATCGCTAAAGACGACTCGATTCCAGTCTCTCTCTGGGTCCATTCGAGGTGACGTTGGGCCCACAGCAGACGTTGACGTTGATGAAACGGCGTCAATATTGGCCCACGATATGGACGTCGAGAATGGAGATTGGCAGCCCGCAACCGATTTCGAATGGTCTGTGAGGACAGTCGACCTCTAAACATCTCAGCCCTGGTTCGTTTAGCCGGCAGAAATCTGTCACGTAGGTGACGTAGGACGATTTGACGGTCTTCTGCTCGTGACGTCACACGTGGACGACCCGACCTTGGGCGATCAGAAGTGGTGCCAGTTTGTTGTAGACGACCTCGCAAGTCATACACAGTACGACGGCTGCATCCCATTGCTCTTGCGACGTCAATAACTGATCTTCCCGCTTGCAACATGCCAACGGCACGTTCACGTTGCACATTTGACAATCGTGGCATTTCAAGTACCGTTAGAACTGTGGTTTAAAAGTGTTTTTTTCAATTCTTGAGGCCAATGCAAACACGTGCATATGAAGAAAACTTCGATGCAAAGATCACGTGATCGACTGCACGTGCAAAACCTGATTTGGCACTAACGTCATTTGCACGACGAATGGATGGGTTTGAGTGGGTTTTGCTAACGTTTTCTAGAGTCGAAAGATAGGGATCCCATTTCGGATACATAGATGTATCATCAGAGAAAAAATATTCATTATTTTTTAAATTACATTTTGTGAAGTTTCTTTTTTTGACTCAGTATATAACGTTGTACCATGGGCCGATGGCCTACATCCACATGAATAAAGACTAAAGATGTAAAAGAAATAGTGTCAGCTACGTAACACAAAAATACAAATCAATATTGAATTAAATTACAGACATGAAATAGTAGCATCTGCTGTTACAAAATAATCCTAGCTTGTAACACACGTGTGGCACACTGCTTCCCACTTTTAGAACAGTAACAGACATTGCTAATCTTGTTTTAGCAATTCAGTGGACGATTCAGTGAGTATATATGCCTTATATTGTTATAAGTATCTTATTATATACACTACGCTTTTATAGCATACAAGATACCTGCTAATTCATGTTTTTGGTTGTCTCTAATCACTGCAAATACACTCACCATTCTCCAAACAATGTACATAAATGTTCTATCAAACTGTTGTACTGTAAACTTGTCCATGTTCAAAAGTATACCAAAGCACAAGTTTAGAACACATATGGTATCCAAATTGTTCGATAAACGAAATTATGAAACTATTCGGAGTAATATCAGCCAAATCAGATCACGTATCCGCATTGTCTTTCTTTTTCCTATGTAAACTCAATCAGCCATATGGGTAATGACAAAACGCAGTATCGTGCGGCCATCGGGGTTTATCAAGGTGTGCGTTGTTACTACAAACAGAAACACTTTCAAATCAGACCTGACCTAGTTTTTACGATTTGTCACAATTTGAGATATATATTTTCACAAGAAATTCACCTAGCTTTCGAATTGTTACTTATTGAATGGAAAACATGTAATGTCATTTTTGTTCTGTGCTTACTTCAATCAAGTTTCAACAATGTAAACGCTGCGTTGATTAGGTCGCGTACCGATCTGTCGAATTTCTGATTTCAGAGTAGTAAAAGCATTCGACGGATCGGCACTGTGATCTTAGCTATGAATTAGTTGTCAAAACATTGGATCATACCCAAAAAAGACGCAAGGGGTGATGGATGGTTTGACTCTCTATATTTTTGTACTTTTGTACAGTATATATCTTTGCCTACTCATATGATACAATGAGAAATTGATGCATTAAATATATGTTTGGACTCTCTATATTGTACAAAATTGAAATTGATGCATTAAATAAAATGCATTCATAAGGAGAAATATATAGTGTTTGTGATGTTCAAACTTCTCGAGTAGTAATTTAGACTTGGTGCATAAACCTGGGAGTATAATAATGTAAGGTATACATAGTCGCACGGTAGGGATTAAACTTAGGGGTCTCTCTAATCTCAAATATCTTTGTTATAAAAATTGCTGAACACAAGGTAAGTTTTTCATTTTGGCAGGCTAGTGGTCCTACAAACTTAACCCAAAAAAAGGGTGCTTTGTATAATATTCTGGTATATACTGTTGTCTGCGCTCCACATACCTAGGACATACAAGGAGGACATGGAACTCGTCTTAATCTGTGTTTCTACAGAACGGGCAGAGAGATGCATCAGGGTCAGGGTTTTTAGCCCGCCGTAAATTTTGTATACAGAAATTATGAGCACTACATCTGAACTCTGAAAGAGCTCTGCGGAGCTTCCTATATCCTGTACAAGCCACGTCCATCCAAAGCCATAACTAAATAGTAACTGCCTATTATGTTACCCAGTTTGATGTCAGCAATCAGAAAGTCTTCACCGGAATCTGTTCTAGTTCATTAAAAAAAACATGCATAGTCTAATCCAATACAAGCCGACCCCTTAATTATGAACTTAGACTCTCCCAGTTTGTTAACACAGTTTGAAATTCGACCGACTAGCACAGAACCACTCAAGCATGATTCGACGGATCGGCACGGTTGGCTGTTCAAAATTCGACGGATTAGGCCGTAACCGTTGATTATCCTATTGTTACGCCAGCTTGCCGGGGATATCGACTCGAATCCCGGACCACACAATGTAAGCCCAGATCAATCACAGCTGATGCAATGACAAGGCATCTGACAAGGCATCATGTGCAACATAGTCACTCCCCACAATATTTTTAAACAACTCAACCTGAGCGTATGAATTAAGTCAAGGATTTGTCAATTTGAATAGCTGAAGTGTATCTAGAAAACCATGTGTATGATTTGAAAGTATGTTGTCTGCCAGGACTTATGCTGTCCATAACATTCTGGATAGAAAAAATATGCGAAACATTATTAGTGAACTGACTAGAGTTACAGAGCATGTCACTACTTTATTAGATCCAGTTATTGTCAGCGATGATGTTGAAACCATAGACTGTGGAGTGATAGATTACGGTAGAAACATTAGTCTGACTGACTGAGTTTGTTTTTACGCCGCTTTTAGCAATATTCCAGCAACATCACGGCGGGGGACAACAGAAATAGGCTTCACACATTGTGCCCATGTGGGGATTCGAACCCGGATCTTCAGCGTGACGAGCCAACGCTTTAACCATTAGGCTACCCCACCGCCCCAGAAACATTAGTGATCATACAGGTACCTACGTTAATATCAATACTCATATATCTACACAAGTGGCTTATACTTGAGACGTATGGTGTTATAAGAAAGGAAAGGAAAAATTACATCAACTGATCGATTCACAAGACTGGTTTTCCATGTTTAATAATTGCAATGATATCAATGAAACTTGTCAGTTATTTTATGAACATTTTAGTTTTATCACAAAGCAGTGCATCCCAACAAAGGTTGTCACCATCAGACCCAATTATAAAATCTGGTATGATTCAAGACTAAGAAGAGAGAGCAGGAAAAGAGATAGATTCAGAAAAAAAGCTTTAAGAACACGGAAGAATGTTGACTCTCAAAATATAGAAAGCAATGTAACAAAGTAAATAACATGAAAGCTTATGCCAAAGAAATTTTTTACTCAAACTTGGATGAACTATTATTTGAAATCTATGCAGAAAGCAATATTCTTATTGGAAAGCTTTACGTTACATTGTAAAATTTTCCGGCTCCAGGTCAACTATTCCAGGTTTAAAAGAGAACAGTAACGATGAGCGCCCATCTATTTTCTCTGATTTGGGTAAAGCTGACAAGCTCAATGAATAGTTTCAATCAATTTCAAACCTTAATGATGAATACATAGAACTTCCTAAGTTTTGTCAAAAAACTGATGCGTCAATTGATATGACAACTATAACAGTGAGAGAAATGTCTTGATATCATTAATTCAATTCCTTCCAAGAAAGCAACCGGACCAGATACAATTACTCATCAATTGTTGAAGAAAACTGTTAACTCTATAAGCAGTGTTCTTGGTCTATTACTTAATCTTACTCTTAGATCGAGTACTTTCCCAAATATTTGGAAAAAGGCCCATGTTATGCCGCTATTTAAGAAAGGTGACAATTCAATTGTATCTAATTATAGGCCGATATCACTAATCAGTTGTGTCGGTAAAATATTTGAAATGGTTGTTTTTAATCATCTTAATAACTACTTTCTTGATAACAAATTGTTGTACAAATATCAGGCTGGTTTTCAGCGAAGCCACTCTACTGTACACCAACTTATAGAAATTTACCACAATGTATGGACATCGCTTGATAACAAAGAAAACTATTGTATGGTATTTTGTGATCTTTCTAAAGCTTTTGAACGTGTATGGCATAGAGGGCTTTTATTGAAATTGGATATGTATGGTGTTAAAAGTAACTTACTAACTTGGCTTGCTAGTTACATAAGCAAACGTACTCAATCAGTTTTTGTGAATGGCACATTATCTCATTCGAAAACACTACAAGCAGGAGGGTTCAGTTTTGGGTCCCTTTTTCCCCTTCTTTTGTGTATGTGAACGAAATAGCTGATGTATTAAATTGCTGAACCTGATTGTTTGCCGATGACTCATCACTCGGTGCACCATGCAATAACATGCAATCATTACAAGTAACTATGAATGAAAATTTAAGCTCGTTAAGTGATTGGGCTAGGAACTAGTTACTCAAATACAACCCAGATAAGATAGAGGCTGTATTGTTCTCGACCAGAGATACTGGCAAGCTAGACAATTTAAATCTTGACGGCTGTATCATTAAAGCTGTACCTTTTCATAAACATCTTGGTGTAACATTATCTTCAAATGGAGGCTGGTCCCATCACATAAATTATATTTTAAAGAAAACCCCCAAAATGATAAATTCCATGAAAAAGGTTAAAGTTTTTGTTAAAAAGAACAACGCTAAATAAGATCTACACTGTTTTCATTCGTCCTCATTTTGAATATGCGTGTGAATTATGGGATGGATGTACAGCTGATCAAACTAACTCCTTAGAACAGTTACAGTTAGAAGCAGCTCGTATAGTGACAGGACTTCCAAAATATACTTCTCGTGATCATTTGTATTTTGAAACTGTTGGGAAACCCTTAGTGAACGTAGAAGAAAACGAAAACTTTGCTTATTTTATAAGATTATTCACAATATTGCACCATCATACCTTTATGAATTACTACCTACATATGTTGGCCAAAAATCATCTTATAACCTTCGCAACTCTTTAAACTACTCCCTTCTATTTACAAGATTGAAACTTTCCTCTTCATCTTTTTTTCCATCTACTGTATGAATGTGGAACAATGTGCCCATAGAAACAAGAAACATAGATTCTTTAGCAGCTTTTAAATTGAAAATTCAAAGTAAAATAAATGCAGCCCCACCTTTCTTTTGGTCTGATAAAGGAAATTGAACATAATTCACACAAAACTAAGGTACAATACAAGTCCGCTTAATTACGATTTATTCAGAATTAATTTAAGATCAGATACTTCTTGTACTTGTGGTTGTTCTTGTGAAAATTCATGGCATTATCTTTTAGAATGTTTTATAATACAACGCAGCGTAAAGATTTGTTTGTAAATGTAAAAATTAATACTGTCGTTAAACATCGCATACCCATTAATCTAGATTTATTGTTATATGGTCATGTTACACTAACACTATATGAAAATGAATTATTATTTGAACATGTACACAAATATATTAAGCTCACTGACAGGTTTTTGTAGTTTTATTCTTGTATATATTATACACATCCTCTTTAAAGACTTTGTTAATTCATTTCACAAATCCCTGTTGTCAATGTTTTCCAATATTGTAAATATGATATGTGTAATTTCTGGGAGAGGGAGTTCCTAAGTTGGATAACTTGTGCTCAATCCATTTCATTTTCGAATAAAATATGTTTTAAAAAAAAGGTTTAAGAGTCCCCTTTGAACCAGCAAAATATAACACAGACAAGTCTAAACTATTCAATAATATATTGAGCAAACAATGAGCAAGCTACAATGAATGACAATACAGATACAGTACAATGCAATTGAGTCACAAACCTTAAGTAATGGGTCACAAATATAAAAAATATTAACTCACCAGAGTCTTGGCATTTACAATGAGAGCAGATGTTCTAACTGAAGGCAATTTACAATGTCAGTAGACAATCGGTCTTGACGATGTTGACAGACAGACGGCGACGGTAGGCAGGTGACGGCAGAAAGATGTACACAACTGCAATGATATGAAATGTCCCGTGTAATTCCGTGTGTCAACACAACATCCAGCCTTTATATATACTGACGCAGTGTCTAGAACATTCTTTATCCACTCAGAACATTCACGAATCATGTTGAACATGCGGCATAACAATACAAAATAAACAAGCCAAGGGAAGCAACTCTGGAGCGCTATCTCAAAAGGCGTACCGCTAAAAAATACTATTGCCATTGCACATACATGATGCAAAATGTGACCCACAACCCACACACAAAACTTTAAACATTGTGACCCATAATAACTATCACTCAATCAATGATATCACAAATTACAAAAAACACACTCTCGTAACATCATAATAATAGCCTATTACATGAAATATAATATTGGTGTAAGATGTTTTTTAGAAATGTTGTCGATGTATTTGGGATAGGCATTTCTGCCACCGGTTTGACCAGCAAAGACGTGATCGTTATGGTGTTATAGGTATCTATATATACCTCCTCATGCAAAATACTCTTTAACAACCACATAAAATACTATTATCAGTGACAAGAAACGTCCAGTATTTAATCAGATTATACTGCCTGTGGAATAAAAGCGGGTAAAGGCCTAACTCTGCATAAACCGTTGAATTACATGTTGATTTCTTAACATTTAACAATCTTTTGCTTTAAAAATCCAAATATAATCTTTCATTATTCAATTATAAACCCATATTTAGACGCATAAGATCATGTACAGCCGAGATAACAATCAAAGTAAAACAAATCAGGAGTGGGAGTGTCCGACCTGATATTATTGTAAATGGAAAAAGGGTCTTTCTACCTTGATCAGTCAACTGCCACTGAGCCTTTAAAATCGGTTATCATGATCTAAATGATAAAATTAGAATGTTCTTATGATGACTGACAAGCACCAGGCAGGTTGAAGTAGTGTACAAATAATTAATGTGCAAGACAAAGAGTTTTAGATAGAGGAATTTGAAAATAGCGTTCAGCATTAATGTCTTGGATGCAATGGTTTATCATTCAAAATTTAATACTTTCCAGTTGCCAGTTAAACAGTTGGAACGCGTGAGATGTGATCAGTTGTCAGACGCATGCCAGGATTCACACGTAGAATGATTATAACAAAATATACCTAGATATTGACAATTTGTTTGACCAGATGACACAAACATGACCTGTTACTTAAAAGAGATATCCAAATTAAGACTGGATTGATAATAAATATTAGATATAATATGCCCCTATTGGTATTTAATATCTAAGTCGGTAACACAGATATATGTTTTAGCATATAGGCATGTGCTGTATTTTGGGACATTTCATTGAAAGGGCAATATTAACAACCCAGTATTACTTCACCAATAACTTCATTTTTGGGAATGTTTTAAACATATCATGGACATTTTTTAATGAAACGTGGCACAACAATCGAACACAACCCTGAAATTAATTCGGATCATAAAATGTTATCCCTAGGAGATTCGATCTCAGTCCCTCATCTTCAACACAACACTCCTGACAAACGGATGCACAACTAAAGCCAACAAATAAATTTACAAGCAAAGACCACGTGATAAACTAATCCCCCCCCAATTAACCATCTTGTATGAAGTACGTCAACCTGGCTTGTAGATTTATCGACTAGTGTGCCTTTTAGTTCTTATATTGAGGCCATACCGTCGTATATCGAGTCAAAGTCGTTATATCGCTCCCATAACGTCACAGAGTGGGAAATGCGAATGGTATGCAGTGAATTAATCAAATAACACCACCCCATTCAATATGTCAGAACAAGCGTGTTCAAGCGTGTACACAAATTCACTGACGTCACCCCACATGTTCAGTGAAGACACACGTATGCTCACACATGTGTTATAGTAAAGCATTACTGATGCCTTTACACAATCCATATAATGCTACAGTTATTAAATATCATAAATACTTGTTCATCATCTTACAGTGCAAACATTATAAAATTGTGACCATGGTTATTTTAAGTGAATAGGATTTAGGTGTTTGACATTTCATCAATGAAGAGAGCAAAATGCAAGATGACGGGATACCCGTCTTCATTTTACACATTACAACTTGGAATCATTGTTTCTGCAGAACATCCGCTAATAGCTGCACGACTGCTGATGTGGCGTTACCTTAGAAATAGGTGTGATGAATTTATACAGTGCAAACATAAATATGCCATAATTCCACGTATGCCTTTTGCAGTGTATCTGTGATTTACGGAATCCTGGAAGGGACATTGTCGCGTTGTTGCATTGTCGCGCTCTCAAAAACAAGCAAAATGAGGTAAAATTAACAAAAGTGCGACAGTGCTACAACGCGACATTTCGGTCATTTGTCGCATTGTCACGATATCACATGTCGCGTTTTGAATAATATTTTTATATTCCCCCAA